CGTTGGACCCGAAGCTGTCGAAGAATATAGACTTCGATGAGTTGTACCGCAAGAGCGGTGGTGTGACCGGACATAAGGCCTCCAGAGTTGGCATCAAAATGAGTGGTAAACTGAAGAGAATTGAAGAGCAAAACGAAGAGTTTGTCCGAAAATACAAGAAATTAAAGCAACGAATCGACTCATAGTTTAATTGAGTTTTAGTTTAATTTAATGAATAATTTAATTTCCAATCCATTTGTTTGTTATAAAAAATATGTTTCGTTTAAATAGTCATTAAAATTAAATTTTGTTCACAAATTGTGTCTAATTTATGGCACATTCCTCGACGTGTGTTAACTCTACTCGTGTTTACCCTATATTTACAATTAGTGTCTGAACTGTCCGTCCGGTCAGGTGTGCGGACTAGTGGTAAGCCGTTGACCACGAGTGAGGCCAATCACGGGCCCTAAATCTACTCGCAATTTATGCTAAAGTTATTTTTAAATGGTTCTAGTCTATTTTGTGTGTTTGAAAATGAATGCACGTATTCATTGAATGGCATACTGTTTGACAGTCGTAAACATAGCCACAACAAGGTTAATGGCCTATATTTACAAAATCTTGTATTTGTGAATTGTTACTCATTAGAGTGTGATAATTATTTTTACTTACGTATAAATTAGCAAACAACTTGCTAATTTGTTATATTAATACAGAATTTTAGTTTAATTTAACGATAAGCTATAAAATAACTATTTAATACCTGATTAAAGGGACAAAATGGACAGACATTAGCGAAACTATATACTGTGTGGTTGTTATAGCGACTCGTTTTGGTAAATACTTGAGATATGAGTTGGACTTTAAATATGGCATTAGTTTCTGATTAATCCGTTAATTATTTGTATATTAAAACTAATTGTCTGTGAAATCAGCGGTTATTATATGAATTAGTGGTGAATATACGGATGATTACAGACATTGCCATCAAGGGATCCATTGAACGCCACGACTGAGCGATTGATTGGAGATGTTTAAGAAGTTGAAGGAAAAGGTGTCGACAGTGACCACTGAATTACAGTCGGCACACACGAGGGCCCAGACCACCATCCAGGGGCTCAACACACAGGCCACCCAATACATCGACCAACTGGTACGGTAGTGGCTCGTCCAGTCACCATGGTCATGCCAATGACACCAATTTAGATGATAGTGTTACCACTGATGACCAATTGGTGGTCTCGTTGTCGTAGTGTTTAGTGTCTTAGCTCTTAGTCTTATGGTTGTCCGCAGAGTTTGATATAACTTTTGGTTACAATTAGAGATAAATAAGTTTTATATAGCAATCAATTTTCGGTTCATTCAGTGATTGAGTTATAGTTAAGTGTTTTCTAACATTTGGTTAATTATTTAAATGATTTCGTGTTTGTCGCAAATCATGTCAAACCTTATTTCATAATACGGTACATATGTATACAATTAAGTTAGTATTCATTTGTATTCAATAACTAAAAGCACTGTTAAATTAGTTACAATGAGTATAACTTATACAGTATTGAGTACTGCAGTAATAGCACTGTTTAAGCATTTATTGATTTATTCAGTTATTTGTATTACAATTGAACACAATTTCATAGAAAAGCAAATATTAATAAATTGTTTGAAACGCTTTGACTGTGAAATGAGCGCAAACTTTAAGGCTTTCCTACTCCTATGGCTTTCAGACATTACAGTTATATTCACATAAAAAAATTAAAGATTTCAAAACTAATGACAAAATCTGTACTTCAGGTGAACAACGCTTCCAAAGAGGGCTCTAAAGATGACTCTGAAAGCGACGGCAAGTCTGAAACACTGGGCGCCAGCGGTGGGGACACTGCCGGCGATTTGCTTGAGTTCAACGACAACGACACCACCGATGAGAAGTCGGTGCCCTCGAAGAACGACTCGTCTTTAGATCAGTTCAGTTTAGTCGAGTTGGACGACGAGTCGCCGTCAAACGCGAGCCCCAACTCCGGGCCCAACGCCGTCACCAGTAGTTCTTCTCACTCAGAGAACGACTCGTTCTTCTCGATGACACCCATCACGAGTCCGACCAATCATTTTGTGCCGCAATCGGACATTGAGAGCGAGTATGAGAGTGAAAGTCACTCACGGTTTCCATCGGTGGACAACGTCTCCAAAGAACAGTTACTCGAGTTATGCATCAAACTGAAGGAAAGGGGAAAGAAATACAGAGACCGGTGGACACAAGTGGTGAAAGGGTATCGACTGCTGGTTGAGGACAAGGAGAAGATGAAGAAAGTGTTGGCCGACACGCAGGACAAGGCGTTGCGGCGGATGAATGAGTTGAGAGAGCAGTCAAATCTGGAACAACAGGCGAAACGGCATTTGGAGGAAAACCTGCGACTCGTGATCGACGAGAAGGACGAGAAGATCAAAGTCTTGCAGACGAAGATTGGGTTATTGAAGGACAACAACGGCCTGAATGGGGTGACCGACGATTTGGTCGATTTGGGCACCGATTCAATGCAAAAGGCGAATGAATTGCGAGAAATGAGCGAAAAAGTGGAGCGATTGGAGACACTTCTGACCCGATGTAAGGAATCGCTGAAAACAAACAAAGAAAGAGTGAGTTCTTTGAACAAAGAGAACGAAGAACTCATTGAATTCAAAG